GTCAGTGTGGGGGACCTGTGACCATGGGGAGTTGGGGTGGGGTGGAGAAACCAGGGGCTGTGGATGCCACTAAAAGTCCCTCCTGTCCCTTTTGGATCCCTCCTTCACCCCAGACAGTCACACTGCTCCACCCACCCCCCAAAACAGGGCAGCAAAGAGGAAAGGATGCGGGAAGGGCAGAAGAGGGAAGACCCCAGCTCTGCTGGGCCCCAAGATCACCGACCATGATCAGACACCCAGAAGATGTCACCTCTCACACCCACACTCCAGGGAGAAGAAAAACACTGCACAGCCAGGACATGGGTGTGAGGAGGAAGGGGCAGCGGACCCGGCCCCAGCCCCTGCACAGGACAGGGGAGCAGGAGACCCCAGGACTGCTTTGGACAGATCGAGGTTGATGTGCAAGAGGCAGAGACTTCAGCTCTGGAGCCAGAAGAGGGGCCGGTACTGATCCTTCATTTCCTCAGCTGTTTAGCAAATATAGGGTGTCAGGCTCCGTTCTGGGTAATGGGGACACCAACATACGAACACAAAGCCCTGCTCCCTGGCAGCACAGAGACAAGTAACCAAGCTCACAACAGGCGGATGGCTCTAACCAGATTATCGGGGAGTCTCGACTCCTGGGGAAATAGACTTGAAGTGATTTCATTTTTCCAGGCTCTGCCTTGGCTGTGCTGGGCAGAGGCTGCTTTCCCACTGGAGATTCTGAGCCTTCTCCACCTGCCAGGTTAGAATCTTCTCTTTCAAGGACGCCTGGGTGGCTCAGTCAGTTAAGCCTCTGCCTTCAGCTCAGGTCATGATCCTGGGTCCCACATAGGGAGGGAGCCGAGCAGGGAGCCTGCTTCTCCCTCTCCCTCAGCCCCTCCCCCTGCTTGTGAGCTAGTTCTTTCTCGTGCTGTCAAAGAAATAAAATATTTTTTAAAAAATCTCTTTCTGGGCATTGCCCAGTGAAACTCTGGTTTCTTAGTTTCTTACTTGATGCAAAACTTTTGTCACCTCCCTGTGCTCAGGGGGAGCTTCAGAAGCTCTATGGGGGTGGGAGGCTGTGCGGGGGGGGGGGGGGGGGGGAGGAGCTCCCCTCACCCTCAGTTCTGCACTGCTGTGTAGGGAGAGAGAAAGGGGCACCAGCTCCTGATGTGCGTGGGCCGGGGAGCCCCAAAACCACAGGGCCTTTTCTTTTTTTTTTAAGATTTTTTTTATTTATTTGAGACAGAGAGAGGCACAAATGGGGGGGCAGGACAGAGACAGAGGGAGAAGCAGATTCCCCACTGAGCAGGGAATCTGACATGGGGCTCGATCCCGGGACCCTAAAATCATGACCTGAGATGGTGACCTGAGCTGAAGGCAGATGCTTAACTGACTGAGCCCCCCGGGCGCCCCCACAACACCTTTTCTGTGAACAGTACCACAGGGTTCTAATTTGCCCGCCAATGGAGTCTTTGCTCACTTGGGGCACTCCCCTGGGCACAGGGCCCTGTGCTCAGCAAAACCCCACATTTGGCTTAATGTCCCGCTGCCATGGTCTTGACATTCTTGATCATTGTTGAACAAGGGGCCCTGTTTTCATTTTGCACCAGGACCCCTGCAAATTCCGGAGCCAGTCCTGCCTGCCGACACGGATGTCACGGAAGTGTACTGCTGGCAGCACCACGTCACACTGCACTTTGCACCTAATGCTGCAACATGGTCCCCAGAAGCCTGAAGCCACAGACTCATCCACCCTCGGGGGTCAACTCTCCAGCCTGCGGGTGTAGGTGAGATTACCCTCTGTAAATTCTGAGGGCCCGGGAACCTCAGGGTGGGGGAATCAGCCTCTCCTCACTCAGCAGCCCCCACCCCGCTGTCCTGCCAGGAGTCCCCCAGCAGCTCAGTGAGTCCTCTGGCTAAGCCTCAATGGGACGCTGAAATGCCAGCCTCTCCCTCCTGCCAGCTCCCGATTCCTGGGCAAGGGATTCCTTCATCCCTCTGGGGACCCTGTTCCTCCTTCCAGCTCTGCTCCAGAAATGAGGGAAGAGGCTCTCTCCCCAAGCCCTGTGACAGCCCCACGGCTCTCACCGCCCCCACGCCACCTCCCCAGCCTCAGACGTTTTTCCTCTGCATGTGGGCAAGGGCCTGTGGGGAGGATGTGGGTCTGAGGGGTCAGCAGTGAGTCCTGCAGTGGGAAGGAGGTCTGGGGGGATGGCCACTCAACCAACCTGTGGACGCCGAGCCCCTCGGAACCGGCCAGACCCCGCCAGACAGCCTGCCACAGAGAAGCGACTGCTCAGAAGAAGCTGCCAGAAGGGATGTGGTGGGGAAGAGGAGGAGGAGTGTCGGGGTGGGCCACCATTCCAGTGGGAGAGGCCACTGAGGAGCAAGAGGACCAATCAGTAATCATACACAAAATAGTTGCATGCAACATGGATTTAGGCCGGGTTCTCAAGAGGTGGCCTGAGGAAGTGGATGAAGCTGATGGCACCTGAGGTGCTGGGGTGCAGATGCGGGAGCGGAGAGAGCCCAGGCTGGCCCTCGTCACAGGAAGTGGCAGAGGAAAGGGGGCCCAGATTGGGGAGGAATGACTCATAATCCATGCTGTGAGGCCCCTTGTTTTCTTTGGCAGCAGGAGGGTTCTCACCCTGAGGGGAGCTGGGGCAGGAGGGGCAGTAAGCAGACCAGCAGCTCTAGGTCTTTCTATTCCTTCCATGGCACGCCTTGAAGGCTCTGGCCTGGCCTGCCTCGCTTTGGAGGGATCCCAATGGCCTCACTTGGCCAAGGGACTGAGGTGCCCAACGTGCAAGCAGTGTGCTCCTCCTTGAGGAATTCCCCAAGGCCTCTGGATTGCGGGGTGCACTCCAGGCCTTAATCCCTCTAGCTTGGATGCCAGCCCCCACCCCCATGGCCCGAAGCATTGGCCTGTCGCCCAGACGCCTGTGAGGCTCTCCACCCCCCTTCTCTGCTTTCTGGGTCCCCTACCCCACTGGCTCTTTCTTGGAATCACAGGTAATTCCCTTGGGAAGCTTTTTCAAACTTCTGTTTATACCTCAAGTACAGGCTGTGTTAACACCCTCTCTGCCAAAAATTTGAGATCATGGATAAAAAAAAGATAAACCCTATCTAGATATACATCCTTTCTAGAGGGATATTCAGATGCAAACGGGTGACTTCCAACTTTACAATATTCACTCACAATAACCCACACTCAGACACCATCTCCTGCACTCCTGAACCAGAGGTACTGTCTTCGTGAGGTGCGGCGGTAACGAGGCAGGGGAAGGGAGGCATATACACTGGTGGGCTGCGTAATGTTGAGCTGGCTCTTGGGGCAGGCGCGGAAGGCAGGGGGGCTCTGATTTATAGCGCGTGCTGATTCCCGTGGTGTGTGCTCCCACTGTGGCTGGTTTCAAGCTCCCCATGTGAAGTCACCCAGGGCAGACCTGGGAAGAGATGCCAATCTTCAGCTCTCAGGAGCCAGTATGATCTGACTCCCAGTACACCACCGATGGGTGGCAACCTCCAATGGAGTTCGAAGAGTTCCACAAGCTTCTTTGTGGCCAGGGCCCAGAGAGGGAGGGGAGAACCAAAATGATGGCGACATCTCGGTGATCACAGGGGAAGAGAGTCTCAGCGAGGAAAAAGAGGTCGTGCACATTCTCTGCTGCCCAGTGGCATAGAAGGAAGAGGCCGGAGAAGCTGCTGGATCTGACTGACCCCACCCTGCTCCCTAAGTCTCACCCATCACCCCTGAGACCCAGGCTCTCTCTGCAGGTCTGGGGCTCTGTCTTATGAAGGGGGGCAGGCTCCCATCAGAGGCTTGACCATCTGCACAGAAGGAGCAAGGGCTGGAAAAGAAAGGACAATATGTTGGGGGGGGGGGGGGAGGAATGTCCTGACAGGATCTGCTCTGGGAAGGCACCAGGCCTGCCAAAGCCACCCTGGGTCACCAACATGAATTGGGGTGCCAAGATCCTCACTCTCTCTCTCTCTCTCTTTTTTTTTTTGTCCCAGGACATTCTGTGGGGCAGAAGGGCACCTCCTCTCTGCCCCAGGTGGGAGCTCCCAGGAGAGCTGCTCATTTGGGGCCCTTCCCATGAGATTCCAGAAGATTCCCTCCTGCCAGATCAGGGTCATAGCAACTGAGAACAATGCTGGACAGGCTGAGCGAGCTCTGCATAGGGGCAGGGGGTCTGGGAGAGCGTCAGAAGCTGCTGGGGCCTGTCAGACCCAAACTGGGCCACTGGTGGGGCCTTTCATGTCCGCCTTCCTCTCGGGGCCTGCCTTTGCCTCTTCCCACCCCACTACCCCCAGTGCGGCAATTACGGCGCTAATTAGGGCGCTTTGATCATCTTTAGAAATGGCTACATGGGGGAGAGACGCTGCCAAGCAATTAGGGGCAGAGGGGCCAGGAGCTAGGGCACCTCCTCGGGGGGTGGGGCTGCCGAGGACCCTCAGACACCCCCTGCCCTCCTCCCTCCAGGAGTATCTGCCCCCAGTATAGCCATAAACTCCTCAGGGAGTAGAGGCAGATGGGAATCCCCCCCATGTGAGCCCTGGAGACAGGGCCAACCCCTACCCACTGGCCCCCCTCTGCCTGGCCCCCAGCCCAACCGTCAGCTCTTCTGGCCTGTCCAGGCCCCTTTGATGGAGCCGCACAAACAAGGGCTCCTTTGACAGAAGGGGGGCCTCAGAGCCGGGACTATGAAACTTCAAAGGTGAGGATCGAGCCCACTACCCCGATCCCTCCCCCAACCCTGGCCCCCCTCCTGAGTACCCCCCCAGTCTGTCCTCTATATAGCCCCCCAAGCCCCATTCCCCTGTGGGCTCCGGGGAGTTAAGGGCCAGGTGAGGGTCCAACTGAGGAAGGTGGGTGATTTTGAAGGACGGGAACAGTCAGATGATTTGAGGGACAAGAATCCAGTGCCCAGGAGCAGAAAGGCAGTGGGAGGCAGCCACCAAAGGATTAGCACCTGCAGGGTGGACCCCAAGGGGGAAAAGGGCCAGGGTCGCCCCGGCTCCCAGTCATCATGCTGCTTCCTGTGCTGCTGCTGCTGCTGCTGCTGCTGCCCCTCCCAGACCCATGGTCTGCCTACGGGCACCCCCTGTATATGCGCCTGCCCCCCAGCACCCTGCAAGGTGAGCCTGGGCTGGTCTGAGGGGGCAGCCGAGGTGGGAGGAACACAGAGGAAATGGGTCCAGGGCAGGGAGTGTGACCTGGCCAGCTCCCACTCGTTGGGCCCTTTGGTCCCTTCTGCCCACCCTGCCGGGAGAAGGGGCCAGGAAGTGAGGCACAGGTGGGAGAGAAACGGGGAGGACAAGTGTGCGGGACCTGGCAAGTACCACCAAAGGGTGTGCTTTGGGGAAGGTTCTGGGTTCAGCAGGAGGAAGGGTCCAAGGTGGCATCTCCTTGGCTATCTGGGCCCATAGGTGGGCAGCTTGACCACAATAATTTTGTCGAAAATCCTGAGTTTTGTGATGTCTCGACCTTTGGGGTGCTGTTTTCCTTCAAGGTTTTTAAGGAAAATCCCTTTTCAAAGATTCCAGCCCAGCTCAGCTGAATTACAGAGAGCTCTTGGGTTGAGAATCTGGGACCATCTGCTCTGAGTGCTGGGCCCTCGGGTCCTGGGGCTCCTTCTCCTCCCCATTCTGCCCTGGTGCTCCCGGGCCCCCACCTGCTTCTCCCTGTCTCCCAAGGCAGGCCTGGGGGCTGGAGCCTGAGACTCTTCCCCAACCACACATGACTTGTGCCCCGTGTCCCAGCAGCTCTGTCAGCCCAGGGCACGAAAGCATTGCAGGCTGCCCAGAGGAGCGCCCAGTGGGCAGTGAATCGAGTGGCAATGGAGATCCAGCACAGACTGCACGAGTGCAGAGGTTGTGCCAACCACACCATCCCATGCCCTGGTGAGCTCGCAGGGACTTCCCTGGCCGGATAGCCTGTCGACCCCATCCCTTCCCTTCACATTTGACCTGGGGACAGAAAGTAGGTGGGGCTGCCACCGGGCTGATGAAGGTCTCTCGGAGTGGGAAGGGCTCTCCAGGCATAGGGCACAGCATTTGCAAAGGCAGGAGGGCAGGAAGAGTCTGGGCTGGTTAGCTGAATAGTGAGAAGTTTATGGCGGCTGACTAGACCCTGACTGCTCCGGGTGGAGTCACAGAGGGGAGCCCCAGGGCAGGGAGGTGGCCCGGGCTCTGCCTGGGTGCAGGAAGGGTGGGAGGCTCAAAGGTCTATGTCTCAGCAGGACCCTGGCGTTCTAGGCCTCAGGCTCCCCTCCTCCAAGATCCAGCAGAGCCAGGTGAGGCTGAAGGGCACTAGGGGGCAGGGCGGGGGGCAGGGCGAACCCTGGAGGGGCCTCAATGGTGAAGGCGGCCAGGACCTGTCCCTTGTGACGCCGATGCCACCTTTCCAGGGCCGTGCGGCGAGAGGCGCCCGAGCGCTGTCAACGTGACCCGTGCCCACGGCCGCATTGTGGGGGGCAGCGCTGCGCCCCCGGGGGCCTGGCCCTGGCTCGTGCGGCTGCAACTCGGGGGGCAGCCTCTGTGCGGCGGCGTCCTGGTGGCGGCGTCCTGGGTGCTCACCGCGGCGCACTGCTTCGCGGGGTACGTCCCACCCCCCCGCGGCCAGCCCACGTCCCCGCGCGCCCTCCGACTCTCCCGGGGTCGCCGGGCGGGCGCCCCGCGCGAGGGCTGGTCTCTGCTGCCTCCTGGCGGCGGCCACCGCCCTCCCCCGGCACCCGGCTGGAGGAGCCCAGCCGGGGCGCGGAAAGGGGGGCTGGGGCTCGTGGGGGCCGCCTGGGGACCACCGCCCCTCCCCGGCCCGCCTCCCTGCCCCGCGAGCCACGGCGGAGGAAGAGCCCGGCAGACGGGAGGTGCCGGTGGGCGGAGGGCAGGGTCCCCGGGACTCGCTGCACCCCCGTCCTGCGCATCACCCGCCGCTCGCCCCGCAGCGCCCCGAACGAGCTTCTGTGGACGGTGACGCTGGCCGAGGGCCCCCGGGGGGAGCAAGCGGAGGAGGTGCCGGTGAACCGCATCTTGCCCCACCCCAAGGTGAGACGGGAGACCCCAGGCCCTGAGGTGGGAACAGCGCCCCTACCCCACGCTTCACTGACATTGCGCCGCCACCCACTCCGCAGTTCGACCCGCGGACCTTCCACAACGACCTGGCCCTGGTGCAGCTGTGGACGCCGGTGAGCCGGGCGGGGGCGGTGCGCCCAGTGTGCCTGCCCCAGGGTCCCCGGGAGCCCCCAGCCGGCACGGCTTGCGCCATCGCGGGCTGGGGGGCCCTCTTCGAAGGTATGGGGCAGGCCCGGGCCTGGGTGAGCGTGAGTGGGAAGAATTGGGGGGGGGCTGGGGTGATGGAGTTCAGGAAAGCGGGGTGTAGGGAATCCCACCCACCTCCAACTGCCTTCGCAAAATGCTTCCTGATCTTGCAAAGGGGGAGGAATCGAGGAGGGGGAGGGGGAAGGGGAGGTGGGACCCTGGAAGCTAGGCCCCTGCCCTGTGGGCCTGAGCCCCCTCCACCGCTTCCCTGTAGACGGGCCTGAGGCCGAGGCGGTGAGGGAGGCACGAGTGCCCCTGCTCAGCGCTGACACCTGCAAAAGGGCACTGGGGCCCGAGCTGCACCCCAGCAGCATGCTCTGTGCCGGCTACCTGGCCGGGGGCATCGACTCATGCCAGGTATGAGCCCTGACTGGTCGCAGGATGCTGGGTGGGCTGCCCCCAGGGACAGGACAGCTTCTTTCCTTCCACAGTCAGGCTGTCACTCAACTTGTCTGAGCTTCTGCGTCCCCATTGCTAAAATGGGTACAAGAGTAATAACTCCAGGAGAGCCCGGAGCTGCCTTACCCTGCCAAGGGTCAGGGGCTTATGAGAGGGGCAGGTCAATGTAGTATCCTCCCCTTTGGCTCGGGTCCCCGCAGGGTGACTCCGGAGGCCCCCTGACCTGTTCTGAGCCTGGCCCCCAGCCCAGGGAGGTCCTGTACGGAGTCACCTCCTGGGGGGACGGATGCGGAGAGCCAGGGAAGCCCGGGGTCTACACTCGTGTGGCCGTGTTCAGAGACTGGCTCCAGGAGCAGATGAGCGGTGAGCACCCCGTTCCCATTCACCTCTGCCGGGAGTATCTTCATCCCCGCCGCCGGGAAAGCTTGTCTCCCTGCGGGGGAGGCTGCGGGGGCTAGGGCCCAAAGCCGGGACTGAGTTGACCGCCCCCCCGCAGCACCCCCCTCCAGCCGGGAGCCCAGCTGCAGGGAGCTGCTGGCCTGGGACCCGCCGGGGGAGCCGCTGGCCGATGCCGCCGTGCCCTGCGCCTTCTACGCGCGCCTGTGCCCCGGGCCCGCGGCCGCCTGTGCGCGGCTGGCGCAGCAGCAGTGCCTGCAGCGCCGGAGGCGATGCGGTCAGTCCGGTCCTCAGGGCTGGGCCGGGGGGGACGGGGAGGGCCTGGCCCGCGCCTGACCGTCGCTCGGACCTTGTCCCGCCCGCAGAGCTGCGCTCGCTGGCGCACACCCTGCTGGGCCTGCTGCGGGGCGCTCAGGAGCTGCTCGGCCCGAGCCCGGGGATGCGGCGCCTGGCCCCCGCCCTGGCGCGCCCCGCCCTGGCGCTCCTGGAGCCTCCCAGGCACCCCGCCCGCGAGCAGCGGCTGCACCCAGGTACCCCGCCGTCACATTCCGGCCCCCGCGCCCCGCACCGCCAGCTGCGCGGCGCAGGCCACCCCCTAACCCTGCGTCTCCCCAGGATCGCGGGCTGCGGGCGCTCGGTTCCCGAAGCGGAGGCCGGAGCAGCGCGAGGAAGCGAACGGTGAGGACGCCCCCTGCCGGCCTTTGCGGGGCGGGGTGTGGTGGGGGGAGGCCGACCAAGGGCTGGCGAGGCCCTGGGGGGATTCTTGGGGCCACCAGGCCCGCTGGCTCTCCCCACCTGACCCCCCCCCCCACCGCCACGCAGTAGGCAGGGTGACTCTTTGGGGGGACTTGTGGCTCTGGGTGTCCACAGAGGCCATCTGCTTTGGGTTGTCACTTAACCTCTCTGATGCTCAGTTTCCCATCTGTCACATGAGGAGAAATCTGCCCACTGGGAGGCCATCTCGAGGTCCTGGTGGGCATCCCACGCCCAGATCCTTGCTGGTATCCGTTTTTGGCTATTCCCAGGGCCTCTCTCCTTCCCGCAGGCTGCCCTGGGCTGGAAGGCCTGCGACAGAAGTTGACCACCCTTCAGGGTACCCATGCCTGGATCCTACAGGTTCCATCAGAGCACTTGGCCATGGACTTTCAGGAGGTAGGTTCCCATATTCACTCACAGTGGCCTCCGGAGGCTGACCTGGGTCAGCCCTGATGGGTAGGGGACAGAACGGGCACCCTCCACAGCAGGAGGCAGGACCTCCAGCCACTTGGGGTGTCTTGGAGGCAAGGGGTGGGGAGAGCAGTTGTGTGTAAGCGGAGGTGCTGCCTGGATGGGAAGGTCTGGGAGGGGGTGTGAGTGGAAGGGCATGTGTGGGGGGGTATTCTAGTGAGCAGGAAGTGTGCAGGCTTCGGGGGTAGGGGGCCCAAGAGCAGGTTTGTGGGACCCTGAGCTCCCTCCTCCTTCTGCAGGTCCTGGCCGATCTGGGTTCCAAGACACTGACTGGCCTCTTCCGAGCATGGGTACGGGCAGGCTTGGGGGGCCAGCATGTGGTCTTTGGTGGCCTGGTAGGCCTGGAGCCAGCCACGATGGCCCGCAGCCTCCCCCGGTTGCTGGTACAAGCCTTGCAGGCCTTCCGCTTGGCCGCCCTGGCGGAGGCAGAGGGATCCCAGATGGGGGCAAGGCAGAGACAGGGGCCGAGGACCAAGGGGCATCACTCACTCAGTCCTCAGATTTCTCCAGCCAGGGGGCCATGAGCCACGTCTGGGCTCCCAACCCGTGGCGGGGACCTACCACTCTGGGAGGCTCCTGTGATGACAAAGTGTCATGGCCACAGTGGGCTGGGTGTGTGGGGTGGGGGACCAGGGTCCATGTGTCTTCCCGGATGTGCCATCAGAAAATCACAGCTGCTTTAATAAACATTATTTATGATCTACAGCAATAACTCTGGAGCTTTCTTGGGATGAGTACCAGGTTGGGGGGACATTGGACAGGGCCAAGCAGGGCCCAACTCCAACAGCAGTTGACAGAGGTCACAAAGACACTGGAGAGAGGCTGCTAAGTCCCCATTTCCACTCTCTTGTTTCCCCCCAAGAAACGGCAACAGCTGACCTGTCGCCACTCCCCTATCCCTGGCTGACCAGCGCTGCCCCCAGTGTCCAGCGCTCTACCCAGCCCCCGTCCCTGCCGCTAGCTGTGGGGAGTTCCAGCCTGGGATCTTTGCCTCCAGTCCTTGGGCTCCTGCCTGGCGCCCAGTCCCTGCCCCCACCCCCTCATCGCCACCTGCCTTAGGATTTCTATCCCACAGCCATGCCCAGAGGTGTCAGATTGCGTTTCCGGATGCCTCCTCCCTTTGCACCCCCCCCACCCTGCACCTGTCCCTTCTCCTACCCACCCACATTCCCCAGCCCTGTAGACTGGAGGGGCAGAAGCCACAAGACCCAGTCAGAGGGACAGGATGGAGGGGCCCGTGTTAACGTTGGGGCTGCTGGCTATACTGGTCGTGTGTGGTAAGAGTGGACATCACCCTGTCCTGAAGGGTCCCTCAGGACTCTCACCCAGAGCTCCCACTGCATGGTTCCCTCCTTAACCTCCTCCCTGGCACATCAGGCCCAACTCCCCAACCCCACTGCCATTTCCCCCTGGAGGGGCTGACCACCAAGCCCCCTTCCTGGGGAGTGGTTGGATCCCCCAGAGGAGCCCAGCTCGGTGGCCCAGCAGGATTTCAGGGCAGCTCCCTTCCTGGCCCCCACTCCCAGCACCTCGTCCCTATCCCTACCCCTCCCCAGGCAGCTGGGGTCTGAACGAGGAGGAGAGACTCATCCGCTACCTGTTTGAAGAGAAAGGTTACAACAAGGAGCTCCGGCCTGTGGCGCACAAGGAAGAGAGTGTGGAGGTCTCCCTGGCCCTCACGCTCTCCAACCTCATCTCCCTGGTGAGAGGCCCCTCGGTGGCTGGGCTGGGGGGCAGGAGGCCAGGGACAGCCTCCTGCAGGCCTGACTGTCTCCCGGACTGGGACGGACGTGGAGGGACCTGGGTGCCAGCCTGGCCTATGGTAGCTCCTCTCCCAGGGAAGCAGGCTCCAGCGCTCTGCACGCTCAATGCCGCCCACAGGTCTTGGGCTGATGCCTCTTCCCCTCCAGCCTCAGTTCTGGGGGGTGCCCCGCATCGGACCCATGACACACTGCTCCTTGGTCTGCCCACCCCTTCCTGACTGTGAGTGCTTGCTGCAGGAGTCAGGCCAACTGCCATGGTTTCCCCTGGGTGGCGGCCAGGCATAGGTGACTGGTGAATGTGTGCAGGTGAAAGAACCATGTGGGCCCTGGGGGACAGGTGTCTTGTGTGATTACAGAAAGAAGTAGAAGAGACCCTGACCACTAACGTGTGGATTGAGCACGTAAGGAGAATACCCCACTCAGGGCTGGGGGCGGGGAGGGGGGTGGGTAAGGGTGCAGGGCCCAGGCTCCCCTATGCTCCCTTTTGCTTGGGCATCTCCGGGAGGGGATCTGCCTGTCCTCCAGGAGGAGCTGGCTCCTACCGCAGGCCCAGCTGCCCTTCCCATCACCTTGTACGGCCACTAGCTCAAATAGAGACTTCTGGTAGATTGGGATTCTTCATCTATGGGAAAATTATCACAATATCCTGATTTTATTAAAAGACACTCTTCTGCCACCTGTCAGCAGTTCATAATACAGACGTACATTTTCTATGTCCATAGTGGAAATAGGCTCCCTTGATTGTGCAGTGTACATTCTACACAACTGTGCATGACAGACCTGAGTCCTATCTCTGGACTCAGCTCCCCTAAACCTCTTTCTCACAGCTCCCAGACCCTTTCCAGTCTTTCCCCAGGGACGTGAGGAGGGTGGGGGGCTTGGGCAACGGCGGAGCCCACTGCTGACACACCTTTTGGGCTTCCAGGGCTGGACAGACAGCCGGCTGCAATGGGACGCTGAAGACTTTGGAAACATCAGTGTCCTGCGCCTGCCGCCTGACATGCTGTGGCTCCCAGAGATTGTGCTGGAGAACAAGTTGAGCCGCAGGCCTCCCTGGTGTCCCCTCCCCACTCTGCCTCCCCCACCCCTACCGGTTCCAAGCTGGCCGGCATTCACCGTGGCCCTTGTCCTTGTCCCTCAGCAATGACGGCTCCTTCCAGATTTCCTACTCCTGCAACGTGCTCATCTACCCCTCGGGCTACGTGTACTGGCTTCCGCCTGCCATCTTCTGCTCCTCCTGCCCCATCTCTGTCACCTACTTCCCCTTCGACTGGCAGAACTGCTCCCTCAAGTTCAGGTGCACCCACTTGTCCAGCCACCCCGCACCCCAGGGCCCACCACCAGGGGCTGGGGGAGGTGCAGAGAGGCCCCGGCTCTGTCCTGTTTAGAGCTTCCCCGCACCCACCTGACCACGGACCTCCTCGGCTAGCCTTCCCCCCTGCCCCCGCTCGGTGGCCGCAGCCCAGCACTGATGACCCCCCTCTACCCACTGCCCTCCCAGTTCCCTCAAGTACACAGCCAAGGAGATCACCCTGAGTCTGAAGCAGGAGGAAGAAGAGGGCCGCTTCTATCCGGTGGAGTGGATCATCATCGACCCCGAGGGCTTCACAGGTGTCGGCAGGAGGCGTGGGGGTGGGGGGCCTCAGACACACTCCCGCCCTGATGCACGCGTGCGCACACACACCTGGAACGTGGGCCTACAGGCACCCAGACGGGCAGAGAGACACAAATGGGCACCCACAGAGAAGCACACGCGGACATACCTACCGACACAAATCTAGCACGTTGAAAGGAAAAGAAGTCCAAACGGAGGGGATTGTGTCCCAAAGGCAGAGACAGGTGCCAGCACCCCCCCTTCCCCTGCCCAGGCCAAGAGATCCTCCCAGGTCTGGACAGGGTCCCTGGGGATGGTTGTAGCTGATCGATGAGAAGGGTCGTCAGACATCTGTTCCCAGTAAGCCCAGGGGTGTGGTTGGGGCTTTAGCGGGCATCCTAGTGTGTATGTCACCCCCTCCCAACACCTCCACCCCATCTGTGATCGGACTCAGATCTTCAACGCACCCCCCCCACATGCCCCTGTCCATCGGAGGAGACTTACGTCACACTGGTCCCAAGGCTGTGACATCACAGCCATGTGGAGGGGGAGGTGTTGGTCTCACTGCATCCTTATCTCTAAGACTTATTTGAACCATATGTGGCCTCAGCTTCTCTGTTTTAGAAAAAGAAGGAAAAAAAAAAAAACACTCCCAGAAGAGAATTTCCCTCTTGCAGATTTCCCCAGGGAAAGACACCCGCAAACAGAATCTGAGCTCTCCCCTGGGTGCCCCCTCGGGCTGGCTCACTCCATCCGGCCCCCGCCCTGCCCCAAGGCCCCCCCAGCCCCCTGACCTGACACCAAGGCATCCTTCTGCCACCCTCAGAGAACGGGGAATGGGAGATAGTGCACCGGCCAGCCAGGATCAACGTGGACCCCAGCATCCCACTGGACAGTCCCGGCCACCAGGATGTGACCTTTTACCTCATCATCCGCCGCAAGCCCCTCTTCTATGTCATCAACATCCTGGTGCCCTGTGTGCTCATCTCCTTCATGATCAACCTGGTCTTCTACCTGCCGGCTGACAGTAAGCCTCAGAGCCTGTCCCAAGCTCCTCGGCCACCTGGGGCAGCCCCTCCCTCTCCCCCAAGGGCGTCTGAGCATCGGCTTCCCCAGCCCTCCCCTCACTTCCTCCTGGGAGCCACAAGGGGGTCACCATGCCTGGGGCTCCCTGCCCAGGGTCCAGGCATGAGAGACATGTGGCCAGAGACATGGAGGGTTTTGTGACCCTGTCTACATCCCCAGGTGTACAGGGCCCCGGGGACGGGGGTGGGGTGGGGTAGAGGGTGTCTGTCCCTCTGGGATCCTGCTTCTGCTTCTCACACTGGGGCTTCCCAAGGACCCAGGGAGAAGCACTAGACTGTCCCTCTGTCCTGGTCACCATGTGTGACCACGGGCCTGGCACACAGAAGGCCCTGCACTTTGAACCAGTGAGTGGGTGATGGCATGTCTAGGAAGATCTCTAGGAAGCCAGGTGTGGAGGCATGCAATCTATGCTCACCTGGTCCTAGAAGGTCATGTGTAACCTATGTTACTTGGTTTCACTATAGTTCCAGAATATTTACTACAAGCAAGATGTAGTGAGTCCCCAGGGACAAATATGATCCGGCCTCTGCTGCTGGCAGAGATTGTAGAAACCAGAGGACTAGGAGCACCGCCCGGGGAGAGTAAAATGGGGGAAGCTTTCCTGGAGGAGGTGGTGCTTGAGCTGGAGATGGGTGGGGAGGCACTCTTCAGGTAGAGAACGGGCCCTGGGGCAGGGCTGTGGGCCTGTGACCACAGTGACCCCCGCACAGCAAGCTCAGGAGCTCGGGTGGGAAGAGCCAGGCAATGCAGGTCGGGGTCTCTAAGGGGAGGACTAAGAGTTGGTGAGATATTGATGCTACGAAGATGCCCTGGAACTTTCCGTACAGGGGTGATTTTTGGAGGGTGGAGTGGCAGGGAGCTGGCTAACGGCGACAGCGGGTGATCATTGAGCACTCGCCCCATGCCGGGCAGCGTGATGAACGTTTAACACTCACTCTCTCACTTGGTCCTCACAACATTTAGCAGTTGTGAAAACTGAGGCACAGAGAGGTCAGGCTGATTGCCTGAGGTCACCCAGCCAGTAAGTGGTGAACCCAGGTGCTCTGGCTCCATAGCCCATGATGTTAATCAGAGCACTGTGGCTTTGTGAACAGTGGTGCAAGGGGCGCAGGCGGAGCCCCTGGGCCCAAGGCCAGAGGTAGCAGCTAAGTCCGGCCTCCCCCAGGTGGCGAGAAGACCTCAATGGCCATCTCAGTGCTTCTGGCTCAATCCGTCTTCCTGCTGCTCATCTCCAAGCGGCTGCCTGCCACGTCCATGGCCATCCCCCTCATCGGCAAGTGAGTGACAGCCATGCCACTTTGCTTCTCCCCCACCTCCCCCTGCCTTGCCCCACCCTGTCCTGCCACACCCCACTGTGCCTCACCATGCCCCACGGGCTCCAGGCTGAGCGTGTGCCTACAGGTTCCTGCTCTTCGGCATGGTGCTGGTGACCATAGTCGTGGTGATCTGTGTCATCGTGCTCAACATCCACTTTCGCACACCCAGCACCCACGTGCTGTCTGAGGGGGTCAAGAAGGTGAGGGCCCTAGGCCAAAAGCTGGAGACTGTCCAGCTGTCCATCTACAGGAGGGCAGGGAGAAACCCTGCGTATCCTTGCACGGGGGAGTGCCACCCTGCATGGCAAAAGTGCCCCGGGCTGCTGCCCACACCACGTGGATGACCCTCCCAACGCGCTGCTGCTTGAAAGGAGCCAGGCACAAATGAGCAGAAGCTGCACAGTTTCCTCTCTATGAAGTTCAAGGACAGGCAAAACCAGCCTTTAGTGATAGAAATGAAGACTGTGGTTACCCCGGGGGGTGGGTAGGAAGTGACCGGAGGAGGCATGAGGAGACCTTCGAGATAGTGTTTGAGATCTTATCTGGGGGGATGTTTACACAGTTGAATGCATCTGTAAAAATTCATCTAGCTCTACACTTAAGATCAGTTCATTTGACTGTTATGTTTGCTATACCTCGATTAAAAAAGAAGGCGAGGAATGTGGGGACGGCGTGCCCAGGAGGGGGTGTCCTTGACTCTGGGCCACTGCAGGGCTGCTAGCAGTTCTGGGATGGCTGAGGTTGCTTTAGCAACTTGTTGGGTCATTAGCATAGAAGAGTGCTCAACATTTGGGGGATTTTTCTTGTTTGTTTTTCCCTGAATGAGTTCTGCTGTGTGCCATGAGCTGAGCAATAGGGGAGAGTTGGAAGCAAACTAAGTGTCCATCAGTAGGGGATCGGGGGAATCAGTGACAGCATCAGAGTCAGGAGTACTTTGTGGAGCCAGGAACTTAGTCACAGCAGTTTTGACGTGTAAAGGTGACCCCATGTCTGTAAAATAGCCTCCTTGTGTCCCCCAACCTGCCGCAGCTCTTCCTGGAGACCCTGCCGGAACTCCTACACATGTCCCGCCCAGCAGAGGATGGGCCCAGCCCAGGGGCTCTCATCCGGAGGAGCAGCTCCCTGGGCTACATCTCGAAAGCTGAGGAGTACTTCTTGCTCAAGTCCCGAAGTGACCTCATGTTTGAGAAGCAGTCCGAGCGGCACGGGCTGGCCCGGCGCCCCACCACTGCACGTGGGTCCCCGGTGGCTTGGGAGTTTGGCCCATTCACGTGAGGTGGGCTGGGGGCAGTCCTCATGCCCTCCCCTGGCCTGGTGTCCGCAGGCCGGCCCCCTGCAGGCTCCGAGCAAGCCCAGCAGGAGCTCTTCAGTGAGCTGAAGCCAGCTGTGGATGGGGCCAACTTCATCGTCAACCACATGAAGGACCAGAACGATTACAACGAGGTGTGTAGCCACAGGGTCGCCGTGCACATAGGGTGTATCCCGTCGAAAGGCAGCTGGGTTCCCCTCGGAGACACACACCCACTTAGATGGAGTCCACTGTGGGTGCAGACTCCAGGGCCCCCCAGGAGGCAGAGCCCCTTGGGCATGGCTCAGTGCCCAGGGCGCACACCCAGGCATAGCTGCAGGCCCACGGCTCCCTTAGGGGCCCTTCTGTCCCAGTGGTCGATCATTTCCTGTCCCTGCTCAACAAGTCTGATACTCCAGACATAAGCAGACATTTATTTTCTTTTTAAGATTTTATTTATTTATTTGAGAGAGAGAGCACAGAGGAAGGGGGAGAGGGAGCAGCAGACTCTAGGCTGAGCAGAGAGCCTGACGCGGGGCTCCATCCCAGGACCCCGAGATCATGACCTGAGCCAAAGGCAGATGCTGAACCGACTGAGCCACCCAGGCGCCCCCATAAGCAGACATGTAAAAGGCAGCCTTAGGTGATTGTTCAATATGATACAACTTTTAAAACTTCTCTCTTGAGAAAGGGGAACTGTTTGCCGGTTCACATATGGTCTAGCACAGCGATGAGAGGCTGGGAGGGGGGACAAGGGAGGGGGGACAGTTTACCCTCCTTAGACCCCTGAGAGAGACCCTGGGCCCCCCAGCTCTTCCTCAGGCCCTGGAGCCCTGCAGCAGGGTGAGGAGGGAGGCTGTGGCCCCACTCTCGGTCTCCTGGATAGAGACCCTGGCTTCAGGGGGGGCCTGGGCCCTGCTTGAGGCAACCCCCACAGATCCACCAGGGCCATGCCTCTGTCATTGGGCACCCAGCCTGCGGTGTGGGCCTTCCTCACTCCGCTGTCTCTGTCTCCACCCGCCCCCAGGAGAAGGACTGCTGGAACCGAGTGGCCCGCACAGTGGACCGACTCTGCCTATTTGTGGTGACACCCATCATGGTGGTGGGCACGGCCTGGATCTTCCTGCAGGGTGCCTACAACCAGCCTCCATCTCAGCCCTTCCCCGGGGACCCCTTTTCCTACCACGAGCAGGACAAGCGCTTCATCTAGAGTAGGCCTGCCCTGCCCCGCTGGCCCAGCTCCCAGACAGCTGCGGGTGGGGCCTCTGGCCTGGAAGGGATGAGCAGGTGGGGGGGGGGGTAGTCGTGTGGACAAGTCCTTCCTGGGGCGGCCAGCTTCTGGCCCTGAGGCTTGAGTCCAGCTGATCCTGCAAGGCTGAGGCAGGAAGAGCTGGGCTTTCCTGAGATTAAGAGAGGAAGGGAGAAACCCCACTCCTCAACCGCAGATCCTCTGCAGCCAAAGACAGGAGCCATCGAGCAGGTCTGAGAGTGGATATCGGCTGGGGGTGGGGAGGGGGTGAACAATTTGGGGGGAAAAGGGGGCTGGCTCAGGGGACCAGGGAGGAGCCACTCAGGCTGGCCTTTTAAGACCCCTCTGTGACGAGTCAGAAAGGCAGAGGCCTCTTTTTGCCTTCCGTCCCCGAGGTGGGGGTAGAGCAGTGGGATCCTGTGCCTTCACTTTCCTGTTCCTCCAGCCACCCTCCTCTCCACAACCCCTCCCCCTTGGGCTTCTGGGGTACCCCCCTGGGGCTGATGTGGGGATACCTCCCTCTCTAGGCCTCTTAAGGAAAGAGGCTTCCAGCAGGGGTGGGAGCACCAGGGTTGCAAAATGGCCTTCTCCAGCCTTTTCTGCCATGGTGACTCTGTCTGGGTCCCTCGGGGAAACTGAGGACGGGTGGAAGGGTCAGGGTCAACACCCACAAAGACTAAAGGTCAGCTTGTCAACCTCAGGTCACACACACAATCCTAGAGCCCCAGAACTCAGCCCTCCCCAGGGAGTGTCCCCTCTTGGGCTTCTATTCTCCTTCCCAAAGTAGGGTTTCCATATGATATTTGGGACATACTCTTAATAAGAAAAATTATTCATTGTTTATCCAAAATTCCAACTTAACTGGGTATCCTGTTTTGTTTCATTCTGGGGGGAGGTGGCAGAGAAAGATCTTAAGCAGCCTCCATGCCCAGCACAGAGCTCAATGGGAGCTCAAACTCACAACCCTGAGATCATGACCTGAGCCGAAATCAAGAGTCAGATGCTCAACCAACTGAGTCATCCAGGCGCCTTGTATTTTTATTTGCTAAATTTGGCAACCCTATCCCAAAGGGAGCCCCCGACCATCCCATCCCAAGAGCCAAAGGCTGAGGCTGCAGATGCTGGGAGACATGGTTGCCTACCTCCAAGATGGCCCCAGTGATCCCCACTCCCTGGTATTCACACCCTGTGCAGCCCCCTCCCTCACTGCACCAGGCTTGGTCTGTGTGACCAACAGAATGAGGCAGAAGTGATGGTGTGCCACTTCTGAGACTAGGCTCTAAAAGACAGGGCGGCACCCCCTGGCTCCTGCTCCATTGCTCTTGCTTTCAGCCGGATCTCTCGCTTTGGGGAAGCCAGCTGGCACGGGGAGCTGTCCTCTGGAGAGGCCCACCTGGCAAGGATCGGAGGCCCTCTGCCTGCAGCCCCACGAGTGACCTTGGAAGCAGATCCCCAGCCCCGGTGGGGCCTTCAGATGAGACCACAACCCCGCTCAGCATCTTGGGCACAGCCCCATGAGTTCCTGGCCAGAGCCACCCAGCTAAGCTGCTCCTGGATTCCTGATCCTCAGAAACTGTGTGGGATAGTATATGTTTGCTGCTTTAATAGACAAAATTTTGGGGTGCTTTGTTACACCAGAGGGCCATCTGGGACAAGCCACTCTCATGTCTTAGGTTTAGTTTTCTTATCAACAAAATGTGTGTGTAAGTCCCATTTGTGAGGTGTTGTGAAAATCGAATTTGCTAGTAGGCATAAAGGTCCTTACATGTGTCCTACAAATTTAAGGGGTGGTTATGGTTTTTTTAAAAAAAGATTTTATTTATTTATTCCTGAGAGACAGAGAGAGAGGCAGAGACAGGCAGAGGGAGAAGCAGGCTCCCCGAGGGGAGCCTGATGCAGGACTCCATCCCAGGACCCCGGGATCACGACCTGAGCCAGAGGCAGAAGCCCAACCACTGAGCCACCCAGGTGCCCCAAGGGATGGTTATTTAACTCATTCCTCAGTTGTGGGACTAGATCACAGGGGATGAGCCTGTGGTCTCATATGTCCGAGGCTGGCAGGGGGTCTGAGGGAAGCACAGGGAACCCAATTATTCTCCTCCTTGACACACACAGTTAAGATCTTCACAGCTCAGTCCATTTCCCTCTGAGGTAGCTGGTGACCTCGTTAGCTCAGGTATACAAAAGGTGAGATTTTGGGTCTTTCAATGGAAATGAACAAAAGACAGACCTCTTTTTTTTTTTTTTTAAAGACAGACCTCTTAACTGCAAAACTGACCCATTACTTCTGACTTCCAATATGAACCGTGCGCAGATTCGAGGTACACATATTTAATTTTTTTCCCTCCAAATAGGAAGAGTAGCTCAGACTTACACCTACCAGATGAGCCAGAAGTCTGGGGCTTCCCTAGGATCCTCCTCCATGAGAGGGTCCCCATCTCAAGCACCAACAGAGGCCCTGAAACAGATCCCTCAGTCACTGTCCTTGCTTCTCTCTGCCACACGATGGCACTGTTGGCAACTGCCAGGTGAATCCTCAGGCGTCCAGCCCTGCTCAGTGGCAGTGGCATGGAACTTTCCAGAGAAGACAACCACAAAATGCCATACCTGATCAACAAGAGTGCCCCATGCAAGGTTCCCAGGGTCACAACGGGACCCTCACCAGCACCCATTCCTCCAGCAGTGCAACCCCAGGGGGCTGTCAGCACTGGTCCCCTCTCTGGGTGACACAGATTCTCCCCAGGAAGTCACAGCCACAAGGAGCCAGCTTCCTGTGGAACCACAGAGTGCCCCTACCCTACACAGTCTCCCCAGGCCATCAGGGCTACTCATCCTCCTTCAAACAGTGATGAATCCGTTAGGGATGCACTGGGCTGCAAGGAACAGAAACCCAAAGAACCGTGGTTCAAACAAATAAGGCTCCCTCTTTGTTGCATAATAAGATCACGAGGCAGTGGTTGCACCATTGGCTCAGCTGCCCCACAAAGCTATTAGCCCCCCAGGCCCTGTGCTCTCTGCCCAGCCCTCCCTCCTTAGCATGTTGGCTTTGTCCTCATGCCTGTCGCTCCAGGTTGCAAGCTGACTGCCACAGGTCCGCAGTTCACATCTGTGCTTAAAGCAGGAAAGGAGCCGGCCACTTCTAGCCCCTTAATCAGAAAGCAAAGGCTCTCTCCAGAAGCCTTCCAGCTGACTTCTGTGGACGTCCCACCAGTCAAGATGTTTTTACATGGCCACCCCTCTCTGCAAGGGAGCCTGGGACATGAGCACTCCACTTTTCCAGCCTCTGGAAGACAAAGTGGCAAAGGGGGACTAACTATCAGACACACCGCACCTGCCCCTTTAGCCCCTCCAGGGCAGCACCACTCTCCTCGGGTGACTCACCGTCCTGAGAACCCCAAGGAGACTTTGCCTCTTCTCCCACAGCAGGAGAGAAGGAGAAAAGACAGGACCTGAAATCTCTTCATACGTAGGGAAGTGGTGTAATTCGTATCAGAGGGAGGTCAATCTCCACTATCGCCCTTTCCCCTCCTGGACAAGGGGAAGGAGAGTCAGAAATGTTGGAGCATCAGCCAGACCACCACTGACCAGGGCGGTGGGGTTGAGGGTGAACAGGTGGTCTGCTATTTAGCAGGTGCCATTAGTGGTCTTGGCAGGGACTCCAGAGGGGGAGAGGTGCTCTCTGGGGAGCACCAAGGGGCAGGCTGGGGAAAAGGGGCAGCTGGCTTTACAAACCCAGGGAAAGGGCACCATACTCCTCAAGATCGAGGATTGGGGGTGAGATCAAGGCTTGGGGGTGGGGCCCAGAGAAGGATGACTGGGAAAAGCAGGTGCCATCACTACTGTCCTCCTGACCCCAAAGTCCTTGTGAGGATAGACGGGAGGGACGACTTGAGGCTGTGGAGGACAAAAGACAGGTGAGCCCATGGCCACAGCTGGCAGCAGGGCCCTCAGCTCCTAGACCCGCCTCAGCCCTACCCTTCCCCTAATTTCAAACTACAAACTGGATGGAGCATGTTTTCTGGCCCAGGTGGGTCCCCTCACCTGACTCTCTGGGGGCACAACCTTGACCTTGTCTGCCTGCCCTACTGAACTGTGACCTCCTGTGAGCCACCCAGGCTCAGCCCGGCTTCCCTTGCAGTCCCCCTGCTGCCCGTCTGGCCTGCTGCCTGCCACATGTGAGGGACTCCCTAAGTTTATGGATACACTTAAGAAATATGGAGGCCACACAAAGGACCCCTATCCAGGGGTTGTTCTGTTCCCACGAGCCCCAAGTCACAGATCTTCCTCAACTCTCCTTCTTTCAAAGCTTACCAGGCCCATGTCCCGTGCCTCAGAGCCTGGGTGGGCCCTAAACTATCCCCCTAATTTGCATTAAGGTATCAGGACCTGGACCACATAGTACATCTCTCTCCTAGGCTTTACCTCCAGTGTCTGGGCCCAGTGCACCACCCATGTTAGGCTGGTAGGACAGGTTTGGGGTCCTCCATCATGTCACAGAGAAACTTGGGTACAGAACATGCCTCCATACCTCCTCAAATCCTGACCCACTGGAGGAACAGAGGAGGGAGCCCAGTTCTGGGCCCTTCCTCACACTCTGCTCTCTCCCATGTCTGCTTGTGTCTTCAGGAACATAGGCTGGGACTGCAGACTCAGACAGAGGGGATGGAGGCTGGGCTGTCTCTATTGGGGCAGATAGGCCCCCTCTGTCCCCTCCCCGGCCCAGGTAACCTGAGCCTGGCATTTTGTCCATCTTGGAACAGCTGACAGTGCTGTGGTCGGACAGCTGGTGGGGCTGGGCTGGCCTGGCTGGGGTGGGAGCATGGGCTGTTATATGAGATCCAGAGTCGACAGCTCTCTACCCTGAGCTGGGGAGCCGTTGTCCCACCCGTCACTGTAGAGGGCTGTGGCACCATGCTCCGGGGCCAGGGGCTGCTGCTCCTCCCACCGCTGCTGGCCGTCTGCCTGGGTGTGGACTCAGGGGGTCAGGAGCCTGGGGGGGCCTGGAGTAGAGGTCCCAGGCCTCAGGGGACAGA